TGACCTTTTTGTTTGTAATAGGTCTCCCCAGTACCTCAAAATTAAGTAAGTAAAAGAAACAGACTTGTAGACAGTAGGTGGACATAAATTATAAACATGAGGTGAATTTGTATTAATAGGAAGCAAGTTCAAATATGAGTACTATTCTTATAAAGGATTTCTCCATATTTATTCTTTACTTTTTAAACTATCAAGAAAAGCCAAAGAGAACATTGGTTTTTCTTTTTTTTTGCTTTGAAAATTTTGTGTCAAATAATTGGGACTGCTGTTAAAAATAATTAAATTTGTACACTGTGGATTGTATTACAAACAGTACTTCAATATGACCACTATTAGTGTACTTTTTAAAATATATATGAAGATTGCTTATATCTGTTCATCTGAATTTCTTTATTCCACAAAGGTTTCTAGAATTAGCATTAGTGAACTGCCTCCTCTTCTCAGAACTTTGAACAGCTGCGCTCCAGAGACATAGGAAGGCGGCCTGACTCAGAGGGCACTCTTGGATTACTATTTACGTCAGAGGCCCTTGAACTTGAGTTTATAATATACTAGGAATGATATTACTAGGGAAAGGAAAGACTAGAATAGCATTTACTATGTGTCTCAAACACCATGTTCGTCCCTGTACCCGGTGGTCTACTGCACATGTATATTTTTATGGACAGAGGGCAGCCCTTAGCTTCAGACATAGAAAACTTGAAGGGAAAAAATCAGTCTTTTACCCCTGAGAGTCATGGAGGTGTGTGCACAGAGGTGTTGTCAGCATAAGGAGATGTAGAGCCATCTGGGCCTCCACCTGCGGAAGTTAACCGGCACTTTTCCCAGTAGGAGGAAAGGAGCTGAGCTGTCATTGAACCGATGTTTTTGTTTCTGCCCTGATATGACGGAACTGGAGTTTGTTTTTTATTTCTTTGTGTGGTGTGGCTTTTTTACCATTACCCCAGGAAAGCTCACCCCAAATACACAAAGCATGCACAGACACACCGTGTGTGCACACATGCACACAGACACAGACCAAAGATCCAGGTGGTCGCAGTCTTGGAAGTCCTCTGTCCCCTCCTTTTTCTCTCACCTGTAACCACTTTGTGTACCGGCCAAACTGTCACTCCTTAGCCCCCAGCCGGCACTGGTGTTGGTCACAGTGTCCTGGCACTGAGTTTAGAGACGTTCTTCGTTATGTTGCCCTATAGGCAGGTCCTACAAGTCAGCTGGAATTGGCTTACAAAATGGAACATGTTCGTTATTTCTGGTCTGGAACAGATCTCAAAATCAGCATCATAACAGATTTTCCAAGGTAGAGGATGACTAATGTCTGGAGGTAAACATTTACTAAGAGGTGAAGTATAACAGTGTGTTATCTACTGAAATTGTATTTGGAAGAGGTACTTTCCATAATGAAAGTACGTTATAAATTTAGCTTCTGGTAGCAAGAAGACGAGTTGTTTCGAATGTAAAAATTCGATTTAGTGTAAGGTAAGGAAGATGATCTAACATTGTTTTTTACATAGCCTACTTCTTGCAGTTGTCAGCTTTTCTGTCAGTAGTAAAGACAAGATGAAGTTTTGTTTACGATGACATAAGATTTTCATGGCCAGCAGCTGGATCAGCTGACTGTTCTGCTTTAACAAGGCAGCATGAACCTGTCTTTCTAAAGTGGCGCCATCACACCACAGTGCTCTTGGCTAAGGCCCAGAATGTGCTCAGGGTGTTCTTGAAATCCATTGCCCAGTTCCATCCAGAGAATCCCTGCATACCCAGTGGTTTTGTAGAAATGATAAGAGCCCAGATGACTTGTTAGCTGGACCCTTTGCATCTGCTTGTTTCTGTGAGCTGCCCTCCCTCCTGAACAGCAGTGCCTCAGGAAGAGGCCAGGAGCCGGAGGGGAGGAGGTGCTGTGTGTGCCAGCCACCCTGTGTTGGCATCTTGGAAAGCAGAGGCCGCCACATGTCAACCCCAAAATGGGATGTTCCTTGGAATTCATTAATCTATAAAATACCAATCTTCAGTTAGTTAATCTAATGTACTGAGCCAGTTATTACCACATAACAAGGGTGTAAGGTGCCCTTGTGTTTCTTCTTTGGGGTCTTGTTGCAGAGTGAGTCATTGACCCTTTTGTCATTCCTGGTTCCAGGATTGAGGGTGGGGTGACAGGGAAGTTGGTGAGAGGCCCAGCTCAGAATTTAAGGAAACCCACATTCTCACATGGGCACATGGGAGTTGGTGCCCCAACCCTGGCTGCCTCACCTGCCTCACCCACGTTTTGGCTCTGTCCGGTAATTGGCCAAAGGTTCCACAGCTATTAAGTGGTGGTATACACAAAAGATCTCTAAATGTTGAGTTGTTTAAAAACAGATACACACGTGTTAAAAATAAAGCAAGCCAGGAAAAGCTTTACTTTGGAACAAAGCTTTGTGTTATTGCACATTTATTTTGTCTGATAAAGACATGTATTTCCGAAATTAGATTTGAGCCATTCTTGTCATGAATAGTGTAGCTAGGCAACAAAAATGCATAGAAGGATGAGAGAACATTAATACATCTGATACCTTCTTCACAGCTGCAGTCTCCCCCGCCCCATCCCGTGCTCCTGGCAGGCACTGACTGCATGTCCCCGCGAGGATTGGTCAGGCCTTTCACAAGCATCAGCCACGGTCCTGGGTGCTAGTGTGTAGAGAGGCTCACCTTTAGCCACTGCGGGGGGGGCGGGGGGGGGTGGGATCTGAGCACACAGCTTCATGCTAGGGAAATGCAGGCAAACTTCGGTCCCTCAGAGCTAGTGTGGACAGCTGTCCAGGGCAACTTCAGAGAAGCCTCAAGGGAAACAGCCACTTGTAAGAGGCATCTCCAACCTCCACTTACCTTTGATGTAGGACTTGGAACATAAAGTAGGTAGAGGTGTAAGCATTCTGAATGTAAGAATGAAAATCCTCCACCAAAAATTCACTTCTAGAATGAAAACGACATAAAATAATAAAATGATGCTAAAAAATTAATAAAGAGAGACAAGAGCAAAGCTGACGAAAGGGAAGGAAGTGAATGAATGAAGATAGGTTTAATATGGATGCCTCTTGAGAAAACTCAAAGGAGACTTCTGGCACTATATTCCGAGGTTTTTAAGATTTAGGAAATTCATGCTTTGCGTGCGTGTGTGTTTTGGGGGAGGAGTGAGAGAGCCAAATTAACTAGTTGTTCAACCATAGATAAAATCTAATAATTCCTTTAAATAAATTTTTGCCACCAAAATGAAGGTATTAGAAAAAAAATAGATTTGTGCATTTTATTCTTTTTTGGCATGAAAATGAATTTTGTGGTGTAACCTAATAGAAACTGGTGAATGGCTTATTTTGTAGGGCCACATTCTGCTTGTGGGATATTGCAGGACTGCGGGGAAGGGTGGCTAGATTGTGAGTCCGAGGACAGGGTCTGTTGGATGCTGGGAGCTTACTGGGTTTGTGTCTGGCACCTAAAAATATTGATGAACACAAAAATGCATATATTTTAATACATGTGTATCCCTGTTTTGACTTGATGGACTTTAAAATAAGCATTTTAAGTTTTCTTTTAACATTTAAACATGAAGATATTAAAATGTAAATGAATGGGACAAAACAGTAATTCTTTTGTAAGAGGAAAATTTTCTGGAACTACCTTGACTTGCACCCCTGTTCAGGGTGTGGCCCAGCACTTCTCTGCAGCATGGCCTCCACGCGGCTGCCTGGGGCGGATGCGCTCAGCTTGCTTTCCTGGTGCTCACTCAGTGCGTGTGTCCAAGTACCAGACTCCTGGTGCTCTTCTGACCTCTGACAAGATTCTTTCTCGCCTTACTCTGTTTAGACTTGGGATGGAGCTAGAGATGACCCGTTAATTATTTAACTTTATCAGGATTTGGGTTTCTTGGTCTCTCAGCTGCTACAAGCATTACTTTAGGGAAAATGAGCCACGGTGGGGTACTGTTACTTGGAAAGAATTGAGGTGTGAAAGATCTCATTAGATAGAATCATAGTGCCGTCCTGGCTTCCATGTTGGCCGCTGGCAGCTCACTGGGCTCTGCTTTAGTTCTGATACTTAATGTTCCTTACAAAATGCACACCCAAACTTTACCGTTGATTGTTAAGTCATAACACATTGCTCTGCAGTAGGCCTTGTCTTCATTGTATTCCCGCCATAGTTTTCCTTTCCTTTACTTGGAAATTATGTGGAAGAATGTACATATTTGTGTGTTTTAATAATTAACGACATTAATAGTGGTAAAACAACTGCGGATAAAAGTCATTGTTTTGTGTTATATCAACTTAGAACGTCTTGCTTTTTTTGGAGTGAAAATGGAGCATTTTACACTGTCTTTAGTCTTGTTGAATAGAATTACTGCATACTGGTGTCACCTTGGATTTCTTAACATGAACTATTGCTTCTGCTTGCAGCCTTACTGAGCTTTCAGGGTCTCACTGCATGGTAGTTTGCTCTTGCTAATCCTTTAACATTTTGTTATCTTTGTTAAAGTAAGAGGTCCTTAAGTAAAGTGGCTACCAAATGTAAATTCTTTCTCAAATCTTATTAGTAGAAGTATTTATCTATGTAGAAAAAGATTAGCTATCTAACTTGGATTTTCCGTGGACTTCCATGATAATTACATACTTCTGTGAATTATGCCAGTTGTTATTAATAAAACTATTAATGGATTTTTATATTAAAACAAATTTCGACTAACATTTTTAATTTATATATATTATAGTTATATGGGGAAATCAAGTCATGATTTGATTGAGAAGAAATTTATTGGTGGCTTCACTGAAAATGTAAATGAAGGATTAAAGTACATAGAGTAACAACAAATGTCTTAGACGTGAGAACTGATGACTAGTGGCTTGCTAACTAGAGGATGTATTGTTACATGAGAGGTAACATCTTCAGGCTGTCACTAGTAGAGCAGTTTACTTTTGTTAGGCTTAAAGGAGCCGAGACGGGGCATAAATGCTTCTCCTCTGATTTCCTTCTAGCGGTTTCACCAGTGATCATTAAGGAGTGGGCAGCTTACAAAGGGAAATCTCCGCAAACTCCAGAACTGGTGGAAGCTCTTGCCTTCAGGGAGTGGACCTGCCCCAACCTGAAGAGGCTCTGGCTGGGGAAGGCAGTGGAGGACAAGAACCGCAGGATGAGGGCCTTCCTGGCCTGCATGAGGTCAGACACTCCAGCCATGCTCAACCCAGCCAGCGTGCCCACTCATCTCACGGTGCTGTGCTGTGTCCTACGGTAGGTGTGGCACGGCTGCTCTGGCAGCTGCATGTCCTCCAGCAGGTGATTGTACAATGCCTCTCAGAGACCTGTGTATGAAGTAGGGGGCGGGGGAGGCGTGGATTTTATTCTAGGTGAACTGGGTTATCTGTTGAAATTCATCCACATCTCATATTTACATATAACTACAGAAATATAGGCCATGTAAATGCAATGTGGATTTGAATTTATGTTGTATAATATGTTTACAGAATAGGTATATTTGGTGAACACATGCTTTATCCTATCTAATAAAAGAGTGATATGCAAATTAACAGTCACACCCTCACTCCGCACTCCATCAGTCCATCACAAAGATGGCGGCGGCCACGGAGCTGGAATGAGCAGGAGGCTTGGTTGCCCCTGGCAATGGAGGAAGCCAAGCTTCCTGCCTGCCCTGGCCAGCCCTGAGCTCCGCTCAAGGCTACAAAGTTTCAATTATAGAAGATAAATAAATGCCAGATACCTGCTTCCAGCCGGCCTGGCCTCCGCTCAAGGAGGGGCTGGGAACATGGGTTTCCAGGGGCAACCCAGGCTTCAAGTGGGACCAAGGCAAGAAAGTTTCAATTATAGAAGTTAAATAAATCCCAGATACCTGCTTCCAGCCGGTGGCCATGGCTAGCTTGAAAACGGCCCTCAGCCCCTCACCCAGGCTGGCCAGGCACCCCAGTAGGGACCCCCACCCTGAAGGGGGTGTGGCCAGCCTGAAACAGCTCTCAGTCCCTTACCTAGGCTGGCCAGGCACCCCAGCGGGACCCCCACCCTCATCCGGGACACCCTTCAGGGCAAACCAGCCAGCCCCCACCCATTCACCAGGCCTCTATCCTATGTAATAAAAAGGTAATATGCATGCCCTGACCGGTGTGGCTCAGTGGATAGAGCGTCAGCCTGCAGACTCAAGGGTCCCAGGTTTGATTCCGGTCAAGGGCATGTACCTTGGTTGCGGGCACATACCTAGTAGGGAGTGTGCAGGAGGCAGCTGATCGATGTCTCTCTCTCATTGATGTTTCTAACTCTCTATCCCTCACCCTTCTTCTCTGTAAAAAATCAATAAAATATATTTTTTTAAAAAAAGGGTAATATGCAAATTGACCCTAATAGCAGAGCGACTGGGAATGACTGGTCACAATGACATACACTGACCAGCAGGGGGGCAGACGCTCAATTCAGGAGATGCCCCCTGATGGTCTCTGCGCTCCCACAGGGGGAGCTCTGCTCAGCCACAAGCCAGGCTGACGTCTGCCAGCACAGCGGTGGTGGTGGGAGCCTTTCCTGCCTCCTCAGCAGCACTAAGGATGTCTGACTGCAGTTTAGGCCTGCTCCCCGCTGGCAATTGGACATCCCCCGAGGGCTCCCGGGCTGCCAGAGGGATGTCTGACTGGGAGCGGGGAGCGGGCCTAAGCCAGCAGGTGGACATCCCCCGAGGGGTCCCAGACTGCGAGAGGGCACAGGCAGGGCTGAGGGGACCCCCCCCTCCTGCCCAAGTGCACAAATTTTTGTGCACTGGGCCTCTAGTCTATATATATAAAGGCCTAAGGGACCAGCCATCTGGCTGACGGCCGGTAGCTATGACGTGCACCGACCACCAGAGTGCAGATGCTCAATGCAGGAGCTGCTAGCAACAGCAACTTTGCAGAGTGCCCTCTCGCACTCTGAGACCCCCTCGGGGGATGTCGGACTTCTAGTTTCGGCCCAATCCCTGCAGGCCAGGCAGAAGGACCCCCACCTGCCAGAGGGACCCTGCTCACTCCACAGATGCCTTTCGAGCCCCAGCACTGTCCCAGGTGCTGCCGGCCAGGGAGGACTCGTGAGAGGTTGGCTCCAGGGTGTGTCCAGCCTGTCTTGCCCAGTCCCGCCCCACTGGCCACATTCTAATAAATTTCCTTTCAATGTGCACAAATCCATGCACCGGGCCTCTCGTGTAAATATAATGATTTTAAACAATTTAGTTTTTAAATATTAAAGATTTTGAAGCAATCAGGGAAGATTATATTATACTAGAGGCCCGGTGCATGAAATTTGTGTATGGGTAGGGTCCCTAGGCCTGGCCGGTGATCAGGGCCGATCTGTGGGGCGACCGGCGGGGAGGTCGGGGGGCACCCGTCTTTGCCAGCCTGGCGCCACCTACTCACTGACCCTGCCCCCCACTACCGCTGCTGGTCGCCTCCCTCTGCGGGGCGACTGACGGGGCGATCAGGGGTCCCCTGCTGGCACCTGCCTTGGCTGGCCTGGGGCCTGCAGTCTGGGGGCAGCTCCTGAGTTGAGTGTCTGCCCCCTGGTGGTCAGTGCACATTATAGCGACTGGTTGTTTCTCAGTTTGGTTGATTTGCATATTAGGCTTTTATTATATAGGAGATTATTTGGGATTGTTCTATAAGGAAAATGTGTCTCTTCTTTCTGCTCATTTGTTTAACCGTATGTATCAGTATGGACTTGGGGTTATCCAGTTTATTCCTAGCATTATAACTGATGTAGTGTCCTTACTTATTTGATTACTCGGGCCTTGGGAGCTCATTCAGTGAGCTACAGTGTCCTTTGTAACCCTGGCATGTTCTTGCTTTTTGTGGTACCACATGATGCCTAGGCTCATGCGCATCTTCCCTGCCCTGGAACCTGCCTCTAAGGGGCCAGCTCATCCTTGGAGAAAGCAGTTGAAAACCCAGATCTGGGCACTGTGTGGTTCTAGGTCCTCTCGGTTGACGGGCCACAAATGCCTGTGTAGACACTGTCTGGCATTAATTTGAGTTGGCATGCACACCTGAATCAGATTTGTTAGTTTTTTAGTATGTTTTTCTTTTAACCAATTTAAAACTCAGGGAAAGTTCCAAGAGCATTTTTTTCTTTTTAACCCAGATACTACTTGAGTGTGATTTTCTAACAAACTAGGACACTTTCCTGTATAGTCACAATATAGCCATTGGACTCAATCAGCATCTGCGCTTTATTTCTATCTTCATTTCAGACCCTCTCTTTGTGAAGCCCGTTGGTTTCCAGAGGGCGGAGCAGCTTTTCTCTGCTACTCCTGGTCCCATGCAGGCTGTGCGTGTGCACTCTGGCACGTGACGAAGGGGTGTCTGCGGGACATTTCCAGAGAGGTTCTATTCCGTTTGTAACTGCTACATATTTCACGGGAGGCACTTTGAAACTAATCATTCAGTGACTCTTGGTTTCTGTCCTCAGTGGCTTCTAGTCCACTGCCACCATCTTTTAATTTGGTGCTTTGTTGTCACCTACTGGACCGTAAGGGCCTTGTCAGGCTGCCCTCCACAGTTGTCTTTGTCATTTTATGAGCCCTTCCTGACTTCTCTGCAGAGGTGCCCTGGTTGTTGGTGGGGATGGTATTGGATCTCTTGTCCTCCTGGTCTGTTTACAGACACACAGACATCCACAGGCTTGTGGACTTCTGTTTGGCACCTCCAACCTGCCCACTTCAGTTCTCTCTCCCTAGGTGTGTGGCCTCTGACGCAGAAGAGACAGACAGTAAAAGCCTGGGGCACAGCTGCCCTCCGAGCCCTAACCTGTCTGAGCCCCATGTGTCCTGCCCTGAGCTGGCTCCTCCTCCTCCAGCTCCTGATGCCCTACTGGGTTGCACCTGCTTGACTGCTGACAGGGGACAGAGCTTTAGTCAGGTGTTTATTTCCTAAAGTTTCTTATATTCAGACTTTAAGGCCAGTAACTTACTTAGAAGCCTTTCCCTAATTAAATTGAGGTTGACTAAAATGAGCAGTTTCTTATCTTTATCTCCAATGAGAATGAACTAGTGAGAAAGACCAATTCTTTATTTGGTTTTTGAATCCCTGGTTTCCTCCGATGGAAAGTTTATTTATAGACTGGTTTTTATCAATAAAAACCACCTTATATTAATTAGCCAAAAATTTAAGATTAAGAGTGGCCTAAAATCAAATTAGCAATAATGAGCTTGGTTACTTTGTATTCCTCTCTTTGAAGTTTAAAATGATGTATGGCCTTTAGTCTAGTGGGGCAACCTACTGCCCACCATATACTTGACCTAAAAAGCCTGCTGGGCCAAGCGCATGGGGCTGCCCTTGCACACAGTGTCCATGCATTAGCGTAGGGTTAGCTGCTGGTGCTGGGAGTGCAGCATTCATGCTGTTACTGCCCCTTGGTGTGGTGGTGCTTTGTGTCTTGTCTGTTATGCATTCAGCCACGTGGGTCACTGGATGCTCGGACCTCTCGTCTCTTCATGTGATTGGTCCTCGTGGACCTTCATCTGCCATTACTCCAGAAAAGGCCTTCATAGAGTCTTCCTAGGTTTCAGGACTGTCCTGGTCCCTGCTTTTAAGACAGTGTTTATTGTAGTTTTTGTGTGTATGTGGTTGTTTATTAAAAAAGTACTTATTTTAGACCTTGAAGAGGTTTATAAATGTAACTAATAATCTCGGGTCTGAACGAACCTCTGCGTCTGTTCGTGTGTGGCATCCAGAAGCTACAGTGAGTGCAGTGCAGACCCCGTACTCCGGCAGAAGCCAGCTGACATGCGTGGGGTGAAGAGACTGTTGTGTGTGGAGTGGGTGCCTGGGACCAGGGAGTTTCTCGCTTGGGAAGACTGTTACAGATCCTAAGGAGGAGCAGCGTGTTAGATGAGGGATAGTGTCTCTCGGGACAAGTCCCAGGGCCTACGACACCATAAATGGGTTGGTCCACTCCGCTAAGAGAATCCATTCTACCTTCTGCATTTGAGGCCCCAGGACAGTAGCTGAAGGAGGCTACCCTGCATGGCCTCTATTTGGTCAGTGGATATAACCTGCAAATAACATGGGGATGGGCTGAGTAGTAGGTCTGAAGTCTTGGGGTAAAGAGTTGGGGGGAGGTTTGGAAAGGGGTGCTGGACAAAGACAAGAAATAGGGTTGGTAACAGGACGAGTAGTAAGAGCTGCTTGAGAACTGGCTGTGGGCTCAGGCTGGCAGCCCAGTGGTCCTTCTCTGGGGGCATTGCAGCTGGGGGCAGGGAGAGGGCAAAGCCTGCATCCTGGACAAGGTGAGTCCCTGTGGCGTGACCCTTGGCCTTGATAGCTGGGGTGGGACAAAGGTCATTGATCCCAAGGCCAGGCTGTCATCCACAAAGACTTCTTTCCTTTCTTTGATCTTTTTTTTTTCTTCCATAATTTCTAACTAGAAGAAATTGTGAGATGAATACAAAGAGCTCGTCACTGTCCTTTACCACGTTCCCCACACACTAATGTTCTACTGCAGTTGCTTTTTGCTCCTCTCTGTGTTTGTCCTCAGTCCCTTGAATGTAAGTTGTGGGCATGATGTCCCTTTATCTTAAGCTCTTCAGTCTGTGTTTCTTAAAAAACAAGGACATTATCAAAATTAGAAAAATAATACTGGTACATCTTACGTACCGATCTCACTCAGATTTTGCCATTTGTTCTAATAGCATCTATTAGCAACAGAAAATCTTGGCTCATGCTTGCATTCAGTTGTCATGTCTCCTCCAGTCTCGACTGCTTCTTGTCTTCCTCTGGGTTGATGCAGAGACGTTTCTGAAGAGTGAGCCCTGGTTTTCTGCACACCGGGGTCTACGGACAGTCAGTCACCTTAGACGCACATGAACAAGTGGAAACAGTGTTGACACACAGGTGGCAGCCCCCAGCTGCACTTTGTCAACCTCTGGGGAGGCTGCTTCTCAGTCTAGGTTTGTCCATGTTCCTTTAGGATAGATTCCATTTCTGCATCTGGGGCAGGCACACCCTATCAGGGAGGTGGTGGTCTCCTTGATACTTTCACTAGTGTCAGCACCCACATGTTACATATGTCCAAATGTGATGTTAGGACAGCACTCTGGAGGATGGGGGAAGAACAGCAGGCAAATCCCTAGAATCCTTGTAACAGAGACCAGGAGGGGCCAGTGTTTGAGCAGAAGTTCAGCATGAGGGTGAAGCAAGTGTTCAGAACAGAACAGATGGCCTTTCCTGGGGTGCAGCCCAGAAAAATAGATGAGGTCCTGACCCAAGAGAGCTCACGTTCTCCTGAGCGGACAGACTGGGTTATGTCTTAAAAGAATCTAAATCAATAACCAAAATAGATTATGGAGGTCTTGAACCCCAAACAGAACCAGTGGAGCCTGTTCCAACACATGAGGAGCACAGGCAGGGTCCAGCTCCCCATTTCTGCCCTGGCATTCACACTTCTAAAGGGCAGTGAGAGGAGGGTGAGAAAAGGGAGCCGCAGATACCCTCATACCTCCATGGTAGGAAACTTGAGACCCTAGGAGAAGGTGTGGAAAAAGAATGTCCAGAGAAAACGGAGCGACGTAAAGGGGCTGAGCACACTGTCAGGGTGCAGCTCGGAGAAGTGTGGGCATAGGAGATGACCGAGGGTGAAGGTGCTAGCTGCTGCCAGTGCTGCCATTTGTGCCGTCCTGGGGGGTGGTAAGCTATTTGTTTATGTAGCTGCATATCTTTATGTCCATTTTATACTCTTCTGCATCCAGAAAGGCTTTCCCAGGACTCCCAGCGAGAAAGAAGTAAATGGTAACTCTGTCAAAATGTAAAAGGAAGCCAAATGGAGGAAATAGCAGATATTCTAACCAAAAAGACTATTTGTTGCTGCAGCTAAACTGAATTCTGGGAGTCTTTGCAGCGAGGAAAACCAGGAAAGATCTTGAGAAAACCAACCTGCCCCCAAGATATTTTTTTCCTGATTAATAATTTTTAAAGTAACATCAAGCCAAGGGCTAGGGCAGCCGTGGGCAAACTACGGCCCTCGGGCCTGAAATGAATAAAACTAAAAAAAAAAAAGACCGTACCCTTTTATGTAATGATGTTTACTTTGAATTTATATTAGTTCACACAAACACTCCATCCATGCTTTTGTTCCGGCCCTCCGGTCCAGTTTAAGAACCCATTGTGGCCCTCGAGTCAAAAAGTTTGCCCACCCCTGGGCTAGGGAGTGGGGGAGTTTGTGTTTCATAGGTTTGCAGATGAAAGGAGTTGTGGGGGTGGGTGGTGGGGATGGTCCCACAACACTAAATGTACTTAATACCACTGCACTGTCCACTTAAAAATGGTTAAAATGGTAAATTTTATGTTGTGTATTTTACCACAAGTTTTAAAAAATAAAAGGGATGTATAACATGGATACTTAGGCAAAGAACATTGGGTATTGGCACACAGTCTTTTCCACAGTAGTTTTTTCAGAGAAAAGTGGAGGGACTTTCTCCATATTTGCTGTTTCTTTTTCTGTGTTCCTGGGGACTGTAGGCATTCATCCTGAAGACTGTAGTTTTAATTCTCATTCTGGGCTTCCTTTCCACTTTCTGTACATTTCCCTCACTAAAGCTCATAAGACCATTGTATTTAATATTTGTGTCACTCAAACAATTGCAAAGGATGTTATTTTTGTCATTGCAAATATTGACAGTTTAATGAAATAAAACTTTTACATCGTTCTTTAAAGTATATCTGATCAGCCCTGACCGGTTTGGCTCAATGGATAGAGCGTCGGCCTGTGGACTCAAGGGTCCCAGGTTCGATTCCAGTCAAGGGCATGTACCTTGGTTGCAGGCACATACCCAGTGGGGAGTTTACAGGAGGCAGCTGATTGATGTTTCTCTCTCATCGATGTTTCTAACTTTCTATCCCTCTCCCTTCCTCTCTGTAAAAAAATCAATAAAATATATATTTTTTTAAAAATGTATCTGATCAGATATAAATACCACAGAGATTTAACATCTACTGTCTTTTACTTTGAAGTTCATTTACTTCCTACTTAGGCTATGCAATTTTACCATGAAGTATCTAAGCTCTGTGCTTCTGTTTCTCCATCTCTCAGATGGGACAGTCATGGTTCCTCTGAGTTTCTGTGACCATGTGAGGAGCCAATGCATATAAATGATTAGACCAATGCCTGGCACCTAGTGAGCAGTGTTGGGATTTTTATTGAAAATATTTCTCTTAATGAACTGGATGGAACCTCTTCCTTCTCCCATTAGTTCATGGTCCTGTGGTGAATATTAATTGTTATAAAAAAGAGATAGGGCTTTGCACCAACTGTGATTCTCGTTTTTGTTGACTTAGATGTTAAGCCCAAGAAAATTTTCCCAGCAGATGGGACTAAAAAGAGCTTTGTGAGGCGTGTCATGCAGAGATGACATAGGGATCTATCACCAGAAGTTATTTTTAGTGATCAGCTGGCAACTTGATTAGGTCATCCTTTAAGTTTGCTGGATGCAGAGAATTAGAAACTGTTGGACTTGAGCAGGACTTATGACCAAGTTCTTAGTGGTTGGCCCCTCAGGCTCTCACCACAAATGGGCATCTGCACTGCAAGGTGAATAAGGGGAAGAGGATTGGTTGGGAAAAAGGGAAGGTGGACACCTGGTGGTTCTTAGGCAAATGGAAGTTGTCGATTTAGAAATTGCTTTCCCGTCAGCTGCTCACATCAGGGTAGCCCCCAGTAAATCTGTGCTCGGGGACTGTAGGCGTGCATTCTGAAGACTGCAGTTTTAATTCTCGTCCTGGTCTTCCTTTCCGCTTCGTCCCTGTCCATTCACCGGCCACTGCTGGATCCCCTTGTGCAGATGGTTCATGAGACACTTCATCAAGGGATTCATCTGTCTTATTTGGACCTAGGTTTGCCTCCTAGGTATCCTTGAATTAAATAGATAAATCATAATATAAATTTGGTACATATTATGTGTTTTCAGGATTTAAATACTTCACAAAAGTGAAGTATATCAAAAATTACCAACCAGCTAGTTTGCAGTATGTATAAATTTAGTGTCATTTTCAATTACTCTAGAATGCTGATTGGCTAGGTGATGATTGGGTTTTGTAAATGGCATCATCACTGAAAATAGGAAAGCTGGGTAAGAAAGCTGTAGAAGCCTCCTTTGCTTATGTGACCCGAACACCAGGTCATGCATGTGACTGGGGACCGCTGCATCCTAATTGCGGGCCCTCTCTGTCTGTCCACCCTGCAGGTATATGGTGCAGTGGCCTGGAGCACGGATACTGCGTCGTCAGGAGCTGGATGCCTTCCTGGCTCAGGCATTGTCCCCCAAACTCTACGAGCCTGATCAGCTGCAGGAGCTCAAGGTAACTGACACTTCTTTCCTCATCCTGGAGCCTTGCTCTGGAGTCAAGGGACAGCTCACCTCACCTGGCAGCTGAGTACATCAAACCAGTAATGCTCAGGAAGAGAACTCGAGAGCCTTCAGGGCAAAGGGAATTTCCTTCCCAGCTATTGAAATGGTCATGTCTACTTTTGTCCGAGTTTTTCCCTTGTATACCAACGGGTGTTTTATTCTTGTTTTCATATCATGAAATGAACTTGCCTTTTATTTCAGGTGGGGATCCCAAACCCTGGGAGGGAGGGCTTGGTCCTAAGAATTTCCTAACATCTGGCCAGGATCTTTTTCTTATTTCGTTCTGTTGTTCCTAATTACAACATTCGTTTTCTCTAAAAACAAAACAAAACAAAACAAAAACCATAGTCTTTGTCCTCCTAGTATTGTAACTCCCTTTTAAAAAAACACTTGAAGAACAACGTTATATCATCATTCCTGTGCCCTTTTAGTCAGCATTTAACATCATATTCCTTTTAATTTTCCCTTCTAGTAATTCCTTTTATTCTTTGTTTTAATAATATTAGTTTTCTCCACGTTGTCACCTGATTTTTCAGTGTGCTTATCTTTTTAGTGCACTTTTATTAGTTGCTGTGTTCGCATGGCTATACTTGCTTTCTAATTTCTACATTAAATTTTAGAAAGTTCAAGACTTTTCAGAGTTAGCTAAATTAGTGAATCTACCTTTTCTTTTTAATGCATAGGGTTTTGTTTTTTTCTTTGCTGTTGGTTATTTATTTGTTTGTTTGTTTGACAAAATTTGATTTGTAATCAAGTAATCTCTTTTTATGAAATCGCCTTCACCTTTAGATCTTTTAGCCATTCTTTATGAAGGCGTTCTTTCCCTACAGAGGAGTTTTAGGCTCACTTTATAGATTTTTAGTGTTCTACAGTTGGGGCTCAATAAATTTCTGGTTTCCCTAAATTATTGAGTTAAATTCAGTAATTTGGTGTTGAGTGACCCTTGACTGTGGGGATCCCATGTCATTGTGGTCACCTTAGGCTTCTGATGACTTTGAAACAAGCTAAATAAGATAACAAACTTAGGAGAATCTACCTCAAATTGTATTCTTTACTTTGTAGATTAAGCTTTTCTGTTTGTTAGACAGAAATTATTTCTAATGGTTTTGAATTTAAGTTTTTGTTCTAGAATATTTGGCCGGGTGTCCCCTGAGAGGCTGGTACTAAGCACAGGCTCTACCTCCTGTGTCCTAGAGTGTGGTGCCCCCACCACCATCTTCATCACCAGACTGCTCAGGGGTGTTGTAAATACTTTTACTAGAGTGTGGTGCCATCCCTCTACCTCTACTTCCTGTTTCTCTTATTTAGATTATTACATCAGTATTGACATCCCAGTTCTGAAAATCAGACCGCCAGGTATCAGGTATGCCCACCAAGCCTTATTCACCATCAAGTTGCTTTTACTCAAAGTTCATCTTTTCTCCCATATCCTTTTCATTTTTGGATCAACACATAGGATATAACTTTCGAAAGACAGTCACACTCTAAGCTTTCATTTTGGTTCTTTTGAAGTCTTAGTGCTTTCATGGTTTTCTCCCGATTCTTCATCTAAAGCTAGGTTTCTAGAGCTGTGTTAGAAAATGCAGGTACTTCAGGCCCACCCCTGTCCCTTTGACTCTTCTGGTCTAGAGGTCTGTGTTCCCTTCACCAAGGGCAGCCTGGACGTTGGCACTCCGTTCATGAGTAGCATAGATTTTGAAAGAACCAGAAGGAAAAACAATAGCTGTCCTTGGGGGTAGAGGTAATTGGTTTTTTAAGATTGAAGATACCCTCAGCTATCAGATTGAGAACTGATAGGAATAATTATTATTTAAATGCTACAAAAATTCCAATGTAGAGCTGAGAGAGGGTCCTAAAATTCAGTGATAGAAAAGTAAATTTTAAAACTTCTTTTTCGTTTAATCATTAAAAGTTGTTTCGATATATCAAAGTCAGTGACAGTGCTTTCCTACAAAAAGCCATTTCACTGTGTAGGATATAGTCAACTCTTGATATTTGGTGGTGTTTTAAGGGCCAGTATCCAGTTTGTGGATTGCCAGACCCTGTTTCTCTTCCACTTCTATCTATATGCTTTGAGAATAAACAGGAAAATAGAAAGAAAAGACCTAATTTTGACAATTTGGCCTCTGGTTGGCTTTTCTGGTGGGAGGTTGGGTCGGGAAATATGTTGAAACTATTAGTTAAAATGACTTTATAAGAGTTTCATCTGGTCTGTGCTCTGTCCACCCCCTGCATCCTAAACATTTGAGTGTTCTGTGTGGCTCATTGAGGCCCTGGGGCCATGATTACCCCCTCACTTTTCTTTGGTATATTAGGTGCTTCGCCTAGGTTACCAGCGTGGATGAAATCACTAAGGTAGAGTCAGTACTGTGTTTGGAGGAGGGGCGGGTAAAGGGTGAGGAGAAGGACCTTTGCACAGTTTCAGTTTTTGTCCAGTTTCTCCTTGCTCTTGACATCCCTATAATTGTCTTACATTCTTCTAATAGTTTCACATGCCAAGTGCAAAATATAAAGATAGAAAATGAAGAGCTGTAAATACAGCGTATGGGCTGCAGCATGTCTGTGGTGCGTGTATGAGTTATTGTACATGTAGGTAAATAGGACCAGTCATAGTAAGAGTCTGCTGCCCAGTAATTAGAAATCAGACAAAGTTACTTTACTGGAATTTGGTTCTTGACCTAATTGGGCAGAGATTAAATTCCATACTGTATTTCCTATAAAGTCAGAAAATGTTGTCAACATTTCTCAAGTTGAGGAACTTTGGATAGTGTTGAATATTTTATCCTGGTTGGTATAAGAAATTGAGATTGGAGGGTGTGGTCAAGAGTTCAGATTCTGGTGCTGTTAGTTACCAGTATTGTGACCTTGAGCTCCTGTGGTTCAGTTTCTTCATCTATTAAGTGGAGTACTAAGAGCAGCACCTGCATCATATGATTGTTGAGATGTAAATGAGGCAATACATGCAAAAATACTTAGAGCAGTGTCTGATACAAATTTATTAAGTTCCCCATAAATAGTAGATAGTATTCTTTATATAATTAACACTTAAGGACAGAAGTATAAACTGCTATGTAAAGTAATTTAAAAATTGCCATAGGCAAGATATACACAGCAACTGAGATTTTATTCCCATTATTTAGACAACTTTTATTCTAAGAATTTTTCTCTGATAAATTACTGGTAGTTGTTATTACTGAAACTAAGTGACTTGAAAATGATTTTTTAAATCCAGAAAAACACAATTTCTCAACTAATGGTGAGGCTATTTAAAATAAGAAATGTGTGTGGATAATGTAGGCTTCTCCATTCCTCTCATCAGCTCACAAGGAGATTACTCTCTCTAACTAGGGTGCTTCTGTGCTCCACACATCTTTCTTAGCCTCAACACTCAGATAACCATCTGCCCAGAGTGGTTTTGAGCTTTATTAGTCAAATAAGGGTTTGTTGTCAGTGTGACCAACACCACCAGTGACAAAGACATGGGAGCAGCATCGTGCTTCCGCAGAAGGCTGCTGCTGGCACCTGCCTTAGCTTTTGTAGCCAGCAGACTTTCGAGCAGCACCAGCACATTGTTGCCTTTCCCTCCGCTTTGACCTGGCCCAGAGGCCATGGCCAGCAGGAAAAGAGGAGGCCAGGTTGCTGCCTTGGCACATTCCCACAATGTCAGCTTTTAGGGAGGAAAAACCCCCTGTTACTGCCTTGAGACTCAGAGTTTCCACTTCCTATCTGCCCTCTCTTTCCCTACTTTCTGCTCATAAACATAAAAATGCATCTAATTCCATCACCCTAACCCCACCTGTCCTCAACTGAACATGTTTAGTTCCCCTTTCCAGCATTGCATGGGAGAAGCAGGGGTCAGCAGGGTGGAGAGACTTCTCCAGGTTCAGGAAGTTCTGAACTGCATTGACTTAAAATTTAAAAAAATAATAAAAAATATATTTCAATTAAAAAATGGTTGGAAAACATAATGTTAACTAATAATGGGGACTGATAGCACAAAACAGCAAATATTCATAAATTCATCAATATTTGGCACTGGAATGATCTTTTTTCTCTTTAATGAAAAGCCAGTTTACCTGCCACATTTAGGTATTGTTTAGGTTGAAACCCGTAAAGATGACATTCTTGAGACTCCATCCATGTGGGAAGACAGAAACCAGGACAGCTAAAACTCAGTCCCGGATAATCCACAAACTAGGTCCTTCACAGGCAGATAATCAAGAGTTGACTGTATTTGTCAGTGTTTCTCACCCTGCACAGCAGCTGCTAGGAGAGAGAGCTGTGTGCGCACAGGAGGGCTCCCAGCGCTAATGACCCAGTGAGAAGAAGGGGAGACAGCCTCTAGATGCTGATAGTCTGCATGGTTCAGATACAGTGTTTTGTTGTTGTGTTCTTTCATTTATAAGCTATCCATTTCTCCTAAAACATTTTGACAGTCTCATTAATAAGTTGCTATCTAAAACATTAACATATAAAATAATGTAAACAAAGTACAAGTTTTAGAATGAAATTATACCAAGTGATATTTTAATACAACTATTTGAAAAATGTATAATCTTGTTAGAATGTTCCTTTTTACAATCTTTCTGCTAATTCACTACCAGTATATAGAATCTGAAGTGTAAAAGTTTGATTTCATAAATGAATTGTGGGCTTCTTAACTGCTAAGGAGACTATTAATAATCTGTTACTTTATCATGTGTCAACCTTAAACAGTATTATTTTACACTTGTATAATGCTTCACATGTCCAAATTGAAATGTTTCAGTATGTTTATAAAATAGTCTCTTAAATTTAAATGTTAACTAACATAAAAAGTCTTTGTGTTGAAACAGGCCAGTGGTAGGTCACTGTATGGTGTTGATTAACAGGTTTGCTTAGAGTGTCTTTGAGGGGTGTCCTGGTTAACCGTGAGAGTTGTAGTCAGACATTGTGACAACTTGGTAATGCAGTACTCTTACTCCATAGAAATCACTCTTTTCCATTTAAAGATTGAGAACCTCGACCCTCGAGGCATTCAGCTGTCAGCTCTCTTCATGAGTGGCGTGGACATGGCCCTGTTTGCAAACGACGCATGTGGCCAGCCCGTGCCCTGGGAACACTGCTGTCCTTGGATGTATTTTGATGGGAAGCTCTTCCAGTCCAAACTCCTTAAAGCAAGCCGGGAAAAGACCCCACTCATCGACCTCTGTGATGGTCAGGTCAGTTGCAGGAACGCAGTCTGGTGGAGGTGGGGAGGAACAGCTGTCCACCTTCAAACAGAGGGAAATACCACTCACTGTCTAATCAGTCGTCTTTCATACCAAATTTATAATGACCCCAGGTGACAGCATTCTGTTTCAGATTGGGTCCAGCCCATGTGTGAGTTAATGTCAGTTCAGTGCTGAGCTCTGGATACACATTTACATTAGACCCTCATTAATCACCATAATTATGTTCTATGAATTTGCCTCAAACATTGAATTAGCAGATAGTGAATCTCGCCTCATATGGGAAATGCACAGCGAGGTTCCTCTATCCTCCAGTGACAACATCTTTGTCAACTGATAAGCATATAACCTTGTTTATGTGTTTCTATTTAAAAACATCTCAATGACTATATATTGTTAATTCACTCACATTGAACTCAGGGTCAGCAGTGCTATAACTCAGCCTGAAATGAACAAAGCTCATCTAACACATGTATTTTCTCCATGAGGCATATCACAGCCTGGTACTAAGGAACACCGATCGCACTCAGCACTGCGCTTGGGGCCAAGTCAAACAGCAAAGTCACCCACAATAATTTTTAAACACCACTAAGTAGATGGTGAACAGGACATTTGTTCACAGTATAAAAGCTGAAACAAAAATGCAGGGTGTCATCTTCTTCAACCTCAACTTGAAACCCAAAGTGTCCCCTACTCTGCACATCTGTGAATGACCATGAGAATGCTCAGTATTGATCTGGGATTGCAAGTACATTTTAGTAAGTAGGTGAATTCACAGATGTGTGGAGCTCATGAATAGTAAGGATTGACTGGTGTTTAATTCTGGTTTAAAAATAAAGTGAAGTGGGTTGTCAGGTTATTTGGTCCCATTGCCTAAAAGAGGCTCATATTCAGTTCAAGCCTTTAAACCTTAGAGTATAAAAGATGCAATCTCTAAGGTCTGGTTTACTATGAAGTAAGCACATTTTCACATTCTGGTTAAAGATTGGTTGTTCACAAGACACTCCAGTTGAATTTTTTGGCCGTTGAATGAGCTTTGTTTGGGCTGAGTTATAGCACTGAAGTCAATGGAATTTGACACACGCAAGTTGTATATTCCACATCCGTGTAGGTTATGTTGTCTTCCATGATGTAATGAACATGAAATGATACAACAGTCATTCCACGGGCAGTCTTGCAGACAGGTCAGGTCCCGTCCTGAAGAGAGAGCTCCAGGCTTCTCTGAGGAGGCATCTGTCACTCTGTACCACAGTTGACTCTCTGTGAAATGCAGTGAATACCTGACCTAATACTACAGAGGGGAGAATCAACTTTAAAGATATGAACTAGGCATCATCTACCCTGCAGTGCATGGGTGGAAAGAGGAAAACTGGGTGAGATGTCTTGACTTAGCCATTGATTTTGAGACCCAAATTTACAGCTTCATTAATAGCTATTGGAGTCAATGGTTCTCACCTGAGGATCTGCTCAGATAGTAGAAATTCATTTTTGTTTTTGAGATTAAGAGGTATTTTATTTTATTTTTATTTATTTTTTTTGCAATTTTGCTCTTGTGGTCATGTTTTCATTCTGCAAACAAGTACTACTGAGCAGACTGACTGTTTACAGATAAATAACTAGACATGGTATAGCAGCCTCTATGTCACCTCCTCCCTGTCCATTCTAATTCAGCTGGAACCTTCTAAGTCACATTTTCACATGCTGCGCTTGACTTGCAGGCTGAGCAAGCTGCCAAGGTAGAAAAGATGCGGCAGAGCATCCTGGAAGGGCTGAACTTCTCCCGGCAGAGCCTCCCGCTCCCCTTCCCACCGCCCTCGGCGCTGCCTTTCTACCCCACCTCTGTGTACCCGAGGCACTTCGGGCCTGTCCCCCAAGCTCAGGGCCGAGGGCGTGGCTTTGCAGGTGAGTAGGTCCCCCTCTGCAGGTAGGACTGTGCTGGTGTGGGAAGGCAGAGGCACACACAGCTTGCAGGCCTTCGTGGGCCATATCTTGCCATGTTGAGACACTGTAATTAACTGGCAGGCTTAGTTATGAAAGGAACAAGTGGATCCCAGAAGAGTTTCTGGGAAGGGGAAAAAGGGAGCTACGAAAGCTGTTGCAGTGATGAGATTTTAAAGACTTTTTCTCCTGTGAGGTCTCTACTAAGGCCTCCTCCTGGATACTGACTGGGCCACCAGATAGCTCCTGGGTGCAGGAGGCTCCTTCAGTATCGGTGGGAATGACATGTCAGTGTTCTGGTGTTGACAAGAGGGTTGGCTGTTGATGGTGTAAGAACAAGACCTAGGAAATGGGGGTCGCTCTGCCTGAAAAACCACCGGGGGCTCTCCCCTGAACCTGGTTCCTCACAGCTTCTCCCGTCTCTCTCCACCCGGGTCCCACAGGAGTCTGTGGCTTTGGAGGCCCCTATGGGGAAACTGTAGCAACAGGCGCCTACCGTGCCTTCCGCGTGGCGACGGCAGCAGGACACTGTGGAGCCTTCTCAGGCAGTGACGGCAGCAGGACTAGCAAGTCGCAGGGCGGTAATTATGCCATGCCTTCTAGAGCTTCTGCCCGCCAGCAGCTTCCCTGCTCCTCTGGCTCCTCTTCTGTCCTGACTCTAGCAGCACATTCTTTCCATGAGCCCCTCCCCCTGCGTTTGTTTCTGCTCCTCTCCCAGCTCCTGTTTGCCCCCAGGTCTCTGCAGCAGCTTTGCTGTGGCCCATCCCTGCCTTCCTTCTGGGCTGTCATGTGTCTATACACAGACTTTGTGTGCACCCAGTCCTCTAACCATCACTCTTGTGATAGAACCGGCTGCCCAATAATACCCGGGGATGTGTCTTTCCTACCTTATTCCCCAACAGCCCATCTCGGTAAAGAGGATTATGCATGTATAGAAGATTCTAAGGCCACAGTAGAATTCCTGGCATAAAAATTTAACACAGTTTGAAACATTTTAAAAGAAACATCTGATATTAGATATATACTGGTAAATGAGTTTGTTTGTTTTAAATTCCCATTGCTTCTCTTATTTGTATTAGGCTTACAAGGGAAAAAAGAAGTGTTAACATTTAGTTTTGAAATCATGTCTTGTGATTTTGCTGTAATAAGAAGCCTGAGACTGGGGGCTTTGTCACAAATCCTGCATTTCGAGACTGCAGATTTAAACCTGGCCATCAAGTCGACACTAGAGGGTTATTCACATACATTTTTAAGTAACTTTGAGGATAGGCAGGCCTCTCTCTTTTAACCAGGGATGTTTTCCAGCTCAATTACTTGGGTGCTTACAGAGGTTTGTGAGAGAATTCTGGTGTAGCAGTGAGACTCACAGATGAGTGCAGCCCCCTGTGTGGCCACAGGAGCATTTGTCCCTCCGCACTGGACCTGCATGCCCCTTTTCCTGCCTCCCCTGGGTTCTCCCACTGTCGGTGCTTTTTTCCTTCCTGTCCCTGTGCCATGCAGCACACAGTGAGGTGTGCTCTGGTTCACAGTTGGCTTCTGCTCCTCATGGCCCTGGACTGGAATCTCCTGCTAGCCTGCAGTCGGGGGAGCATGGGGGTCAGGGGAACCTTAGGGTGAAATGACAAGAAGAGCCTGCCTCCTAACTTCTTCAAATTGTGTCTGGAACTCAGATCTGCACTGTCCAGTGTAGAGTCACTGGCCACATGTGGCTCTCAAGCACTTGAGCTGTGTTCTAAGTGAAAAATGTACTTTAAAGATTTAATATGGAAAAAACAAAGCAAATTATCTCATTAATAGTTTTTTATATTGATTACATGTTGAAATATTATTTTAGATATATTGAGATAAAATAGATGTTATTAATACTGATTTCATATGTTTCTTTGTATTTTTGAAATGTGGCTAGTAGAAAATGTAAAGCTTATCATATATTTTGCTGGACAGCACTGCCTGGCTGCTAAATCACATGGCCAACACCTAGATGATGAGAGTTTATTACAGTCCATCCCATCTTCCAGAAAATAAGATGCTTGAGGTCCTGGTTTATTTTGTTTTTATCAGAAATTTTGCTAACAGTTAATTATTTAAGAATGTTCTTAGGTAAGTCAGAAAACCTTAGAATATGCAGGCTACCAATAATTAATAGAAGTTAGTGCATACAGTGAATTTGTGACCCAGCATAAGGGAATTCTCATTTAACAATCCAATAAAAAAAATAACAGGCTCTGTTTACTGATTAATTTCCATAATGTTTGGTTAAAGTAGTAAACTTTGAAGTAATTATCCAAAAAGAAGATAATAGATAGAAGCCGTGCCATCTGCAGCCAGGACAGCACTTGATGGAATGCAGTTCGGTCTTGCACTCCTCAGTTGTAACCTATTTCGTTATCATGGGTCCTTTGAGTAGCCAACACATTTGTCTTACTGTCAGGTGTATTTGTAACAACAGTTACACCATTAAGATCAAACGATGTGACTTAGTCCACAAGAAGCCTTCACAAAGCAAGTGGAAGGGCTTCGTGCAAAACATAAACCACAACTGAAAGGAAAATGTTTCCCTGTTTTTCTTTTTTCTTTGCCATTCTTAGTCCTGGGATTTTAAAGGGTTTTTGTTTTTTGTCTATTTTTTGTGTAGGAATCCAACCTATACCTTCTCAGGGAGGGAAGCTAGAAATAGCTGGCACCGTGGTCGGCCACTGGGCTGGGAGCAGACGGGGCCGCGGGGGCCGTGGGCCTTTCCCCCTACAGGTCGTTTCTGTTGGAGGACCAGCAAGAGGGTAAGTGCTGATCAATGAACATGTATTTATAGAAATTAAAAAACAGCCTCTTATTTGTTTTTCAGTTTACTAGAAACATTTTTATATCACTAAATGCACTCTTTATAATATTCATAGTGATTATATAGGATTGCATTATATATACCTTTATGTAACTATTTAAATTGTCAAATGATTATCCATATATTATTCAATTAGCCATTTATAAATGTTTAAAACAGTAGTATGTTTGAAACGTATTATTTTTCAAATTGCATGCATTGGATATGAACCAAGAAAAATAAGATTTATTCCTTGGAATCAATCTTTGGCATGTCCATGATTTAATAAACTCGGTGCTTCCTATAGCATAAGATTAAACACCTTTAAATCCATTTGATATTATTTTAAATGGTTTAAGTGTTGTTTCTAACAGATTCAAGTCTTTCTGCTTTTGTCCTATTTATTCTTCAGGCGTCCAAGAGGAGTTATTTCCACCCCAGTGATCAGAACATTTGGAAGAGGTGGGAGGTACTATGGCAGAGGTTACAAAAACCAGGGTGCGATTCAGGTAATAACACGACATAATGCTGGTGCTGGTTACTCCCTAATGTCTGTCTTCCAGGCTAATGTTTTAGTGCCGGTATCCAGAGGGGCCGGGTGTTGTTGGGCTCCTTCTATGGAACATCTAACTTGATGGTGGCATGTGGTGCTCACCCCTGTAAGTCCCTCAAATCATTTCCATTAGGTTTGTACTCAGGTGCACAGCTGCTTGTAGGGATTTACGGAGAATAATCCAGGGCCCTTAATGGTGTTTATATTAGGAAACATTATTAGGTAAATAGCATTTAGGATTTAAAAAGGAAATCCTGACTATCGGTGCTGGGACAGGAGGTCTCTTTTTCTCCTTCTCTTGGACCATCTTGACTAACTTCTCATTCCACCCCTTGCTGGATGCTGTGCTGCTTAAAGGATAATCCCAAGAGGAAACAGGTCACGTGTTTGTCTTCAGGAAAGACTGGAACATGCTTCCGCTTTGGATGATAGGATCTGGATCCTGGTGAATTTCCTCTTGAGAATGATAACCAGTCAGCTTTAACACTGTAGTATGTCGTCCCACTTCTTGAATTATGGTATTTAATCACAGTGTACAGTTTATTCCGATGCCATTCTTGTAAACATTAAGAGGAGTGCACACTTGCCCTGGCCAGTTTGGCTCAGTGGATAGAATGTCGTCCCTCGGACTCAAGGGTCCTGGGTTCGATTGCGGTCAAGGGCATGTACCTCGGTTGCAATCTCAATCCCTGGTCCTGATCAGGGCACATGAGGGAGGCAACTAATCAATGTGTCTCTCTCACATCGATGTTTCTCTCTGTCTTTCCCCCTCCTTTCTACTCTCTAAAAATCAATGGAAAAATACCCTCCGGTGAGGATTCGAGGATTTAAAAAAAAAAGGCGTGCACTCTTGTGACTAATATATTAATAACCCATATTTAGAAACTTAATTGGCCAACAGAAGATAAAACTGTCTTTACCAGGTGATCTTAGCACCTTGGCCACTTGTTTCAATGAAATACATCAAACAAATCAAGTACAGAGCCAGTCTTTCCTGAGGGTGGGACGCAGGCAGCCCCTTTGCAGCACAGCATCTAGCAAGGGGTGGGGCTTGGCTCCGTCGGCCTCAGCCTTCACACAGGTGCATTTTGAGCCAAAAGCACTCTCACCTCTCAGCCGGTCTAGGAGAGGGGCCACAGCCTTCCTGTGGCTCCAGCCAGAGCTCTTCTGTGAAAATGGCCCTTGTGGTGTTCTTGTCCTCCTTAGTGGATGACAGGGCCTTTCCCGAGCTGGTAGTAGGGGCTGTCCACACGTTGCTTATACACTAATATAAAACATACCTTGAGAATTTTCTTAGGTAAGTCAGAAAACATTAGAAAATGCAGGCTACCAGTTAATTAATAGAAATTAGTGCATACGGTGAATTTGTGACCCAGCATAAGGGAATTCTAGTTTAACAGTCCAATAAATTCTCAAAAACTGCACAAAACAGATGTGTAGCTTAATTCGTTATAAGGCAAATACTCATGTGCCATCACTATGTGATAAATCGTATCACCAGCCATACTGAGAGCCCCTCGCTCCTTATCCCAATGCCTCCCTCCTCCCTCCACCCAAAATAATCACGACCCAGACCTGTTCTCTGTGATTTTACTCTTGTGTGTTGTCCCTAGGCACAGTAGAGTTTGGTTCATTTTCCTTGGTTGCTGTTTCAGTCTCTCTCCCTTTCTTGTCCTTCACTTACTCTTGGAAGCACAGCCCAGGCTCCATGACAGACTGGATCCGGCTGAGTGTACACACACACTCAGTGCGGCTCTGCTTGCTCTTTCTCATACGCAGTAGCTGGGTCTGAGTGCTGCCTCGTTCTCGGGTTTATCCCTGCAGATGCGTGCTTTCGTGTCTGCTTGTCTATTTTTATGTGTTGGACCTTCTTGGTGCCTCAATGACTAGACCAGTGGTCGGCAAACTGTGGCCCCTTGACTGTGGCTCTTCCACAAAATACCACGTGTGGGCGCACACGTACAGTGCGATTGAAACTTCGTGGCCACACTCAAGGGACCAAAGAGCTGCATGTGGCTCGCGAGCCACAGTTTGCCGACCACTGAACTAGACCATTCATTCATTAGGGATTGCAGAACGAAGATGTGCTCAACCCATCATTTATTTTTATTTATTTATTGGAGTATTTTTATAAGTACATGTTTCTGGTGCCCGAGTTTTACAGCCCCTACAGGAAAGGCAGAGTCTGCATGTGATGTTCCAGTCACCTTGCCCATCCTAGGTCACTACATCCTTTAGCTATGACCTGAGGTCCTCAGTAGCTTTCTGTGTAGGGTATCACCCATCCCAGCGGACCTGCAATAGCCACTTCTCTTAGTGTCTTGGTTTCTTTAGTGGGAAACAGCTTTTCAATGCCATAGTATAGGCACTGGTGTACTCTGACTACCATGGGGTTCGGTCACTGTTCCTGGTGCTCTGTGTACACAGGCACAGGTCCATTTCTTCATACATGAATATGCGCACAAATATAAATGCTTTTTACTGTATGTATTGCTAAGATAGAATCTTCTCCAGGCAGGTATGCTCAGTGGTTGAGCATCGACCCATGAGCCAGGAGGTCCCGGTTCAATTCCTGGTCAGGGCACATGCCTGGGTTGCAGGCTCAATCCCCAGTAGGGGGTGTAAGGAGGCAGCCAATCAATGATTCTCTCTCATCATTGATGTTTCTCTCTCCCTCTCCCTTCCTCTCTCTGAAATCAGTAAGAACATTAAAATAATATTTAAAAAAAAGATAGAATCCTCATGAATTCATACCAAGGTTTCCAATTCAAAGTGCTGTCTAAGGTGCTTTCAACTTGGCCTCTTCATTGTCTGGATGTCCTATCTCCATGTTGTGTCATGACTTCTGGGCTTTTCCTGTAGATAGAGCCAGAGGGATGATATGTGCATGCGCATCATGTATGCTGTGTACACACATGTATACATGTATATGGCTGCCTTTTTCTTTTCAATGAAAACCTCAGGAGTTTATATTGATTCTTTCAATTCAAATTTAGAGCTTCAGAAATTTTACTTAACCTTTGCTGTTTATATCTGTATATGCTTCCATCCTGAGGATCTTGGTTCCTAAGAACCCAGGGGATGGTTAACTTAGAATGTCCCATAACTGTTATTTACCTTACTAGAGGCCCGGTGCATGAAATTCGTGCATGGTATGGTCCCTAGGCCTGGCCTGCCATCAGGGCCATCTTCCCCTGCTGCCCACAGCCAGCCCCACCCCCCACCGCCACCCACCCCCGGTTCCCTGCCCACTGGGGGGAGAGACAGAGAGGTTGGCCGTTTCTGCCCGCTAGCCAGCCCAGTCCCCCCACCCTCCCATCATCCCCGCTAGTCGCCCTCTGTGTGGGGGTGACCAGCAGGGCGGGGCCTTGGCCTGGCGCCACCTGCGTCCGTGACCACCCACCCCCGGTTCCCCGTTCACCATTGGGCGATCGGGGCCTGTGGGCTGGGGGCAGCTCCTGCGTTGAGCGTCTGCCTCCTGGTGGTGAATGTGCATCATAGCGACTGGTCGTTCCGCCGTTCGGTCGATTTGCATATTGCCCTTTTATTATATAGGACTAGAGGCCCAGTGCACAAAAATTTGTGCACTCAGGGGGGTCCCTCAGCCCGGCCTATGCCCTCTTGCAGTCTGGGACCCCTCGGAGGATGTCCACCTGCTGACTTAGGCCCGCTCCCTTGGGGATTGGGCCCAAGCTGGCAGTCAGACATCCCTCTGGCAGCCCGGCAGCCCTCGAGGGATGTCCACTTGCCAGCGGAGAGTAGGCCTAAGCTGCAGTCGGACATCCTTAGCGCTGCTGAGGAGGCGGGAGAGGCTCCCACCACCACCGCTGTACTGGCAGCCGTCAGCCTGGCTTGTGGCTGAGCAAAGTTCCCCCTGTGGGAGCACACTGACCACCAGAGGGTAGCTCCTGCATTGAGCGTCTGCCCCCTGGTGGTCAGTGTGTGTCATAGTGACCAGTCATTCTTAGTCGTTCTGCTGTTAGGGTCAGTTTGCATATTACCCTTTTATTATATAGGATAGAGGCCTGGTGCATGAGTCGGGGCCAGCTGGTTTGCCCTGAAGGGTGTCCCAGATCAGGGTGGGGGTTCTGCTGGGGTGCCTGGCCAGCGTGGGTGAGGCGCTGATGGGTGTTTGCAGGCTGGTCACACCCCCTTCAGGGTGGTGGTCCCCACTGGGGTGCCTGGCCAGCCTGGGTGAGGGGCTGAGGACCGTTTTCAGGCTGTCCAAGTCCCCTGGCAATGGAAGCTCCCAGCCTCTCCTTTTTATCTTTTTATTATTATTATTATGGGGTTTATTTACCTTCTATAATTGAAACTTTGTAGCCTTGAGAGGAGCTCAGAGCCAACCAGGGCGGGCGGGAGGGAAGCCTCCTGCTCACTCCAGCTCCATGGCCATGGCCGGCTGAAAGCAGGTATATGGGGTTTATTTACCTTCTCTAATTGAAACTTTGTTGCTTTGAGTGGAGCTCAGAGCTGCCACGGCAGCTGGGAATCTTCGCTTCCTCCATCATTGGGGCAACCAAGCCTCCTGCTCGCTCCAGCTCTGTGGCTGCTGGCCGCCATCTTGGTTGATTTGCATATAGTCGCTCTGATTGGCTGTTGGACGTGGCTTAAGGTGTAGCAAAGGTACAGTCAATTTGCATGTTTGTCTTTTGTTAGTGTAGATTCCATATTGTACACACTGGCAGCTCAATACATTAATACTGCCATCACCGACACCATCACTGAGGACAACTAAAATGTTGGTATATGTCCTATAATTCTTGCATTTTAAAAGAAATAGTTGTGCTGTTATTGCCTGCATTGTTCAGCATACAGCAGTGACCTGCTTCACTCTTCCTTTAGCCTTATCTGTCCAGGTTCCATACATCTGTGCATCCGGGACCCACAGCCTATGTCTGCAGGTCCATTTTGTCCCTCTGATGCTTTTTCTCTAGTATATTCCTCAGTGAGGACTTAGGGAACAAATACTCAGTTTGAAAATACTAGTCATTGTTTTCCTAACATAGTGATACCTTGGAGATATTGTGGGGTTTTTTTCTAGACCGCTGCAATAAAGTGAGTACCGCAACAAAGAGGGTTGTCATGTTTTTGCTGGGGGCGGCCTTGCCTTCAGTTTGTAAAAATGAAACATAAAGTGAAGAGCTTAAAGCAGGGTATTCTGTTCTTGAAAACATTGACTCACATCTTGCTCCCCCAGTGTCTTAAAGCATCTGTGGTGTCATTTTCTCCTGTTATAAAGCTTTGCTGTCAAAGACTGGTAGTAATCTAATTGTCTTTCCCTTTAAAGCCATTTGCTGTTTTGGCTTAAATATCCAAATGTTGTTGTTTTTTGTCAAAGTTTAGTGATACGTCCTGCTGCTGGTTGCTCTGGGTCCATGTGCTCAGTACAGGACAAGCTCTTTCAAACACAACTTTAAATCTTGATTTGCATCAGAAAGTTTTCTTGAATGAGTAGTTTTTCATTTCTGTGCTTTTTCTTTGCTTTTTAAAATCTCTGGTGATCCTGTTATCCTGGTTCTCAGGGTCCATCTTCAGTGTTTGTCACACTGTTGATTTTTTATCTTTTCCTTTTTTTACATATATATATATATATATATATAACTCACAAAACATACAATTCACCCGTTTAAAGTATACAATTCTCAAGGCCATGAAGTAGTTTATCATTCTAGGAAGAAACACATACTCATAAGCCAGTGGTTCTCAACCTTCTGGCCCTTTAAATACAGTTCCTCATGTTGTGACCCAACCATGAAATTATTTTCGTTGCTACTTCATAATTGTAATGTTGCTACTGTTATGAATCATAATGTAAATATCTGATATGCAGGATGGTCTTAGGCGACCCCTGTGAAAGGGTCGTTCGACCGCCAAAGGGGTCTCGACCCAGAGGTTGAGAAACACTGTCATAAGCAGTCACTACCCCCACCCCAAACTCCCTCTGCCCCTGACAACCACGTATCTACTCTCTGTACCTTTCATGTAAATGCATATGGGGCATGTACCAGCACTTCATTCCCTTTCATTATTATGTTCTATTGCAGTGATGGCGAACCTGTGACACGCATGTCAGAGGTGACAGACGAACTCATTTTTTTGGTTGATTTTTCATTGTTAAATGGCATTTAAATATATAAAATAAATATAAAAAATATACATCTTTGTTTTCCTATGGTTGCAAATATCAAAAAATTTCTATATGTGACACGGCACCAGAGTTAAGTTAGGGTTTTTCAAAATGCTGACACGCCGAGCTCAAAATGTTCGCCATCACTGTTCTATTGTGTGCATGGACCACACTTTGTTTACCCATTTATCAGTGTGTGGACATTCAGGTTGTTTTTATTTTGGGGCTATTATGAATAGTTTCAGGTATACAACATAATGATTCAATATCTATATATACAAAAGCCTAAGCAGCCGTTCGACCGGTAGCAATGACGCACAATGACCAGTAGGTTAGGTTGTTGCTGGGACCCTGTCATCCCTGAATCTGGTTCATCTGCACCAAATTCCCTTTCAATGTGCATTAATCTGTGCACCGGGCCACTAGTTTATATGTGTTACGAATTGATAACCACATTAAGTTCTAGTTAAAATCCATAATCTTACATAATTAAAGAAATTTTTCTTTTCGTAATAACTGTTAAGATCTACTTTCTTAGCAACCTTCAAATATACACGGTGGAGCAAAAGTAGATTTATAGTTCATATGAAAAATAGTATCTACACTAATAAAAGAGAAACATGGTAATTAGCGTACGACCGCTACCCTTTTCATTGGCTAATCAGTGAGTATATGCAAATTAACTGTCAGCCAAGATGGTGGCCGGCAGCCATGCACTGAAGCGAGCAGGGAGGTTTGCTTGCTTCAGTGACTGCGGACTCCAAAGTTCCCCGCCTCACTTGCCGGCCTCTCAGCGGCAACTCTAAGCAACTATCTACTATGTTGCAAATAAGAAGCTAAACAAAACCCCAGAAACCGGCTTTCATTCAGCCGGGTTTTAGCAACATTGTATCGATGTTTTCAGCGGCGAGGCCTCAGAGCTAAAGCTGGCCCAGAATAAAAAAAAGGAAAAAAAGAAAACAAGGAGCGGTTGGAAGCTTCAGTCACTCGCTTCCGGAAAACAGCCCTCAGCCCCTCACCCAGACTGGCCGGGCACCCCAGTGGGGACCCCCACCCCGATCCAGGACAGCCTTCAGGGCAAACCAGCCAGCCCCCACCCGTGCACCAGGCCTCTATCCTATATAGTAAAAGGGTAATATGCCTCCCGGCACTGGGATCAGTGGAGCAGCGAGGCTCCCGGCACCGGGATCAGCGTGACAGGGGGCAGCGCCCAAACCCCCTGATCAGCCCTGCTCTGTGCCTGATAGGGAGGAGCTCCCCAATCCCCTGATTGCCCTGCGGCTCTGTGTGTGACAGGGTGCAGCGCCCCAACCCCCCCCCCCCCCCACGAGCCCTGCTCTGTGTGTGACAGGGTAGAGCATAACCTCTCCATCGGCCCTGCCCCGAATGTGAAAAGTGGCGGCGCCCCAACCCCCTGATCGGCCCTGCTCTGTGGGTGATAGAGGGTGGCGCCCCAACCCCCCTCCATGGGCCTTGCTCTGTGTGTGACAGGGTAGAGCCATAACCTCCCCACTGGCCCTGCCCTGAGTGTGACAGGGTGCAGCGCCCAACCCCCTGATCCGCCCTGCTCTGTGTGTGACAGGGTACGGAGCCCCAACACCCCTGATGGGCCCTGCTCTGTGCGTAACAGGGGGCAGCACCCCAACCCCCTGATTGGCCCTGCTCTGTGCGTGACAGGGGGTGGCCCCGCAACCTCCCCATCGACCCTGCCTTGAGTGTGACAGGGGGCGGTGCCCCAACCCCCCAATCGGCCCTACCCTGAGCGTGACTTAGGGTGGCATCGCAACCTCCCGATCCGCCCTGCTCTGTGCATGACGGGGCGGCGCCCCAACTCCCCAATCGGCCCTGCTCTGAGCCTGACCAGGGGCTGCACTTAGGAATTGGGCCTGCCCTCTGCCACCCGGGAGCAGGCCTAAGCCTGAGTAGAAAGGACTAAAAGGCACTAGATGCATTGCCATCTTGTGTGGAAAGGGGATGGGATGTGGAGCTGGAAGACCTCTAAGCAGCTTACCTATTCTATGCCTCTGTTTTCTTATCTGAACAATGACCTTTTGAAGGTAAAGACCATTAATGTTTTCTTCAGCAACAGTCAGTCTCTGACAGTGGGTCTCAGCCCTGTCCATGTCAGCCCTAGGGGACACTGGCTTTGTTTGGAGACAGGGTTATTTGTCACAGCTTGGCTGCAAGTGCTGTGGACTTGTGTGGGCAGAGGCCAGTCATGCTTCTAACCTCCCTACAGTGCACAGACAGCCCCTGACAGAATGATGAGGTCCAAAATGCCATGATGCCAGGTTGAGAACCCATGCTCTAGTTCAGGGGTGGGCAAACTTTTTGACTCGAGGGCCACAGTGGGTTCTTAAACTGGACTGGAGGGCTGGAACAAAAGCATGGATGGAGTGTTTGTGTGAACTAATATAAATTCAAAGTAAACATCATTACATAAAAGGGTACGGTCTTTTTTTTTTTTTAGTTTTATTCATTTCAAACGGGTCGTAGTTTGCCCATGGCTGCTCTAGGATGTAAGCAACTGAAAGAGCTCAGTCTGTCTTCATGGTTCCGTACAGAGAGGAAATGTGCTGAGTCAGTCTCAATGTTCATTTTTTTCCAGAGAATTGTTTTTAAATCTGTTAGGAAGAGGGGGAGACCCCTTCAGAAGAGAGAAGCCACAAACACATATAGCGATTATCAGTGCAGACTTCCTTCTTGTCGATGTTGCCCAGCAATGATTGTGTCATTTCTTCATTTCCCAGTAGAAATGGACGTCCCCGCTGCCTGTTACGTGCAGATATCCCTTTGGAGGTCATGTGCAGGACAGGCGTAGTTTGAAACTTCCGAGTAGACTTATTGAGAGACCTTTTTTTACTTTAAATGACTCAGTGCTCTTCAAGTGGGGATCTCCCTCATCGTCAGCACATTAACTACAGGGAAGTTGAGGAACAGGGACACAGGAGGAACTGCTGAGATGGAGAAGCTTCTGCCAGATTCAGGTCAATCAGAAGCGAAGACAGAGTATGTTACAGTGTAGAGGATGTATGTAGAGTATATAACAATATACAGAGAGTGTATACAGACTTACAGTGTGTATGGAGTATATAACAGAATGTAGAGGAAAGCACATACACTGCCCTGGCCAGTGTGGCTCAATGGTTGGAGAGTTGTCCCAAACACCAAAAAGTGGTGGGTTTGATTCCCGGTCAGGGCACATGTCCAGGTTGTGGATTTAATTCCCAGTTGGGATGCATGCAGGAGGCAACTGACTGATGTTTCTCTCTCCCTTCCTCTCTAAAATCAAGAAAAACATTAAAATGTTATAAAAAATAAAAATCTATTTTAAAAAATAAAGTACATACACTGTATTCTGTTCTTGAATCTGCAGTGAGTATCATTAGGCCTCGTTAGCACCCCTGTTTCCCACTGTTTATCAAGAGTTGCTAATCGCTGTGTAATTCATTTTAAACAGGGCAAGCCTCCTTATGCTGCTTCAGCAGAAGAAGTGGCCAAAGAACTGAAGTCGCGATCCGGGGAATCCAAGTCCTCCGCCATATCTTCAGACGGGTCCCTGGCTGAAAATGGAGTGGTGGCTGAGAAGCCAGCTTCCCAGATGAATGGGAGTGCAGGCGACACCAGGGCCCCCAGCCACTCGGAAAGTGCCTTGAACAATGACTCTAAGACGTGCAATACAAATCCTCACTTAAATGCACTAAGCACAGACAGTGCTTGCCGTGGAGCTGATGCTCTGGAGGCAGCTGTCTTAAAGCAAGAAGAATAAACTTATTTTTTATAGAGGGTGAAGGATGCTGGAAGGGTAAGGATTTAGGAATATCTGGAGAGAAAGAGAGCCTACAGTTATGTACATTTTTTCCTTTCCGTAAGAGAAAAATGAGGACTTTGGAAATTCGGATCCCTCTTTGATATCAGAGATTTAAAAAACACATTTTTAGTTTTAACCAGTTGTAGTCAAAATGCTACAATAAACAAAAAGAGAGAAAGAAAATGAAGAGCATTTGACTCCCACTCTTAAAATGAAGTACACACAAAGTTTAAACTGGTTATGACAAAAGCCTATAGTTGTGTTTCTTGAACTATAAAGAAAACAAATTTTGGCAGTCTTTAAGTATATATAGCTTAAAATATCATTTTTAGCATTTGGCACCATATGTATGCCATTATCTTTGATTTTGCATTACTGTTCACAAGAAAGCTTTGTTTAAGGCTTTGATTTTATGATTATGAAAGAAATAAGGCACAACCACAGTTTTTCTTTCTTACTTAAATTTCATCACTGTTGATGTGGTTCTTTTGTGTTAAAAGAAAAAGTGCAACTATCAAAACAAAAAATTATAGAGTAATATTGCCGTTCTGCTGATTTTAAATATACAGTACATCATACATACTTTACAAGCAAGTTAAATGGAGATAAAGTTGAAATCATAGAAGATGCAAATGACCTTTCAAAATCAATACAATGTGTTCTGAAACTTTTTGTGACTTAAATACCATGCATCTGTGATCAATGAACTATGTGGTTTTGAATCGAATGTAGACCATTAGTGCTACTACTTGAGCTAAACTTACTGCATGGTTCATAATTTTTAAAGTGTGTAGTTAATATTATGCATGTTATTGTCCTTTCTTCCATTCTTACCAGTATGTGCCCATTTGCAAAACAAAAATGCTAATAATCAGTAATAGTTCTATAAAAGATGTTAACTCTGTTTAGTCATTGACTGATCTTGCTCTAACCTTAAAATTTTGTGATTATTGACCTCTGTTGCATTTATTCTAAAACACCCCAAAATTATCTAGCTGTTTCGAATATCAACATTACCCTGGTGTATTCACTGCTGTATGCATTACTGTTCTTTGTTGCTGTTTTATTCCTTCATATTAGCAAAATATGAAATTCTGTGAAAAACAAAAAAAAATCCCTTTGATCTTTAACCCCCCCCCCCCTTCTGTAGCAGGAAACAAATTGCTTGTTCTTGAGAACTTTCCCATCAAGAATTTAGTAGAAGCAGGTATACTTATATCATTTTGATGTTTTTGTTAATGTTTCCAAACAATGTACTTTGAAATCAGAATCACTTCTTATTCGTTTTCATATAATTCTCCTGATGCTCTTCATCACACATTAGTGATCAGAAACGAGATGTAATTCCCCAATCCCTGCCCGCAAGACCTGAGTAGGATCTTACTGTAAGTTGAAGGGAGTTTTGCCCTAACTCATGGATTGTGCAAGAATGAACTGCTGTTGGGTTTGACTGATTGTAGATGGGTTGTGGTGTGGTGTATTGAAGGCTATTGAATGCAACTTACAATGCTTAATAAAAATCTTTATTCTTTTAGTATAAAGTATGGTGTGACTTTTAAATTCCTTGTATTTTACTGAAGTTTAATTCAAATTGAAACAGCTACTGAAGAGCTTGGTCAAATAAACAAGATTGAGAAATATTTTGTCCTTTGCAAGTAATTCCAGGTTTCCAGCTCTAAAGGAATTTACATACATCGTTAATGTGGAAATGATGCTGGTGTCTGAGTTTGTTACAAAGAAGACAGTCCCTATGATAGAGTAGGCTTAGAAATAGAAAGTTATTGTTTCTTAAAAAGCCCAAGGAAGAAATAAATTTGGTCTTGATTAAGCCACTTTTTAAACATTAGCCAAATCCATACTTTACTCGGCTTTTTACTCAATGTCCCTTTTTGTCCTGGGGTCCCCCACATTACATTGGTTGTCCTGTCTCCTCCAGCTCTTGTCTGGCAGTTTGGAGAGTGCTGCTGGGCATTTTGTGGAATGTCCCTCCTCTGGGGCGCATGCAGTTAACACGGCACCAGTGGACTGACCTTACCTGGCTGTTGGTCAGGTTTCCGACCTGTAACATCGCCCCGCCCCGTCCTATCTGCTCCTGGGGGGTCATGCACCGCCCGCACTGGGAGGGGGGGGGGGTGAATTTCCCGAAGTTATTTGGCGTTACTGTGCCGGGCAGCCGTGTTTTTACATCAGTGAGTTCTGAGTGCTGAGCACAAGACGGGGCGACGGAATTCGTTTTTACTGGTGCCTGTTTTCTGAAAACCCATTGTCAATCTCTCGTGCTCTGACCCCCTCAATGATGGTGCCGAACTAGGAAATGCTACTTTAGCAGCACTGTTCTGGGGGTTTCAGCCATCCTGTCAGGACCACACTATCATCACCGCAGAGCAGCTTTCACCCACTGCAGGCGACACGGCTGGAAAGCGGCGAGGCGCCCCGAGCCTGCGGCCGGCCTCCGCCCAGGGCTGGCCCTCTGCGTGTCCTGAGCTGCCCCTGCGGGGACCGCGGCTGCGGGCGCGCGATTGGCGCCTTCCGCGCGGAACCGGGGGCGGAAGGGGAAGCTGGCGGGACCCGGCGGCAGGGAGAGTCGCCTCGGCCCCGCCCGCTACGCAGTCGGAGGAGGACGCAGGCAGGCGGAGCTGTGCGCTCCTGCCCGTGGGCGGAGGGAGTCTCGCGTAGGGCGGGAAGGGGCCTGCGTGGGGCAGGGGGGGACCTGGCGTCG